GTAGCCTGCCGTGTCTTGGTGCGTGGCTGATCGCAAGTTTCGTGCCAGGCGACCCGTGCAGCTTCCCTGGAACTCGAGCTTAAAACCAAAGCTAAAACCTACCCATAAATAATTTGCATCTCTGTAATTGACCCTAGCATATTGACGTAACCAGGGTGCCATTTCATTGAGATTCACGGGGGAAGGGGCCATTGAATTTACCTGCCTTGACGGCTGGTTTTCTGTTAGGGAAAGGCTGATTTGGCTTGTATGAGGCCGGTTGGACCCCATTCCCTCGAAAGCAGGTCTTAGAGCTGTGGGAATGTTTGCCCCACTTACCGCATTTGTGAGTGTACTTACAGTTGACCCTGCTACAGCCAAATTTATTGAAATCCCAGCATACCTGACTGGCGATGTCCCCCTGTACGCGTGTCATTGCGCCCCGCCCGCCTGATTCTGGTTGTCGTACCGGCTGTGTGACCATGTACTTCAGCCACAACTCCCCGTCGATGTTGTCCCAGCGTCGTGAGCGGTCCCTTGACATTCTGTGTCGGAATTGTTGGTCGTAGGTTGACCAGGCCGTCGGCCTCGTTGTGAGCATCGGGGATTCTCCCTATGTTGGGCGAAATGGCGGGAGAACTAAAACCAAGCCTTACCTGTTGGTTTGCGCTAACCGGGCCGGGCGCTGAATGTTCCAGCAACTGGAGTATTTTTTCCAGTTGCTCGTTTACCTGGGTAGCCGAGTTGGCAGCCTGCTCGGCATTTACAAGCTGCGCCGATTGCACGTTAATTGTGTTGCCACCTTCGATATTTCCGTAATTGGAAGACTCACCATCAGCTGTTGCCTACTGCATAATGTGTACTGCCGGGGTTTGTGTTGTGGTTGTACTGGCCTGCTTGGCTCCCCTCACCAGCTTGTGGTGGACGGCTGATCTTCTCTTGGGAGGCATCACGAAAGGTCGACGTCGAGGTGTTGAGTTGGTATTCCACAAGTGTAAAATGTCCCAAGGATGAAGTTCGGGAGTAGAACGAAATAAATGCGATACGGCGAGTGCTGAAATAGGTGGTATTAAAAGCGTAATCGGCGAAACGGTCGCGATTGTGTAAATGCGATACGGCGAGTGTTGAAATAGATGTTATTCAGAGCGTAATCGGCGAAACGGTCGCGACTGGGTGCAAGGGAAAAGTACAAAGCGAAAGCGATTAGATACAGCGAAACGCGTGTGTACTTGAAGAGGGTCTCTGCGCGAATGACGGGCTTTACAAAAAGGCGGGATGATGCTCGCGCGGGCTTATTCCCCGGGCATGGTGCAGAGTGGTGACCCGGGGGTGATTGAGTTACGAGGGGTGATTGGGTTATGGACGTAATTAGCCAATGGTTTGGATACGCGCGATAACGTCATTTAGTAGTAAGTACTAAATGTAAATATTAGAGAAGGCGACAGACAGATCTTTCACTAACAGGAACATTGGCATCAGGCTGCGCTAATCAAGATGTATTGAAGCTGGCGGCTGTTTGAGAATCGAATACAATTATGGAACGTTAACTTGTCGTCTACGACTTGGTGAATCGAAATGAATAGAGGTGAATGAAGGATTCATTGTTCTTCAAAAGAATCATTCAGATGTAAGTTGAAAACATTTGTAAATGTGTTTATCTTTTTGAACATGATCGCATGTATTTTCTTTAATACCTTCCCAGAAAATATGTGTTTACATAATTACACTATATTGACGTAAGAACATTAAGTGCAGAAAAAACGAATACCAAATTTACCAAATCATGTGCAGTTGTCAAAGTGCAAAGAGTCAGTGAGTTGTGTCTTATGGCAATAGTCCATCCATATCGCGTTACCCAGTCAGCCACTGTATATCTAGAAAGACAACTTCAAACGAAAATAAAGACCAATGCTACTAAAGTACTGACAGATAAATTTGTCGATTCAGTTTGCTTTTATGGAGGAGACATTCACGGACACATGTACAGTTCACATTTTGCTTCTGTTTAAAGGTACCCACTGGTCCCTGCACAGACATGTCTTGCAGTCTCGGTTCTAGATGTATAGAGAGCCGATATGGAAAAGCTGTCTGTGTAAAAGTTAACTAACTGCCTTCAACACATCTTAACTGAAGGCTACGTTGACATTAACAGTAGAGAGAGGGAATACAGGATGACACCAGTGATGTTGGCAGCACGTTTTGGACATAGCCCTGTTTGACTTTCTTGTAAAAGAAGGAGGCAATATGTCACTTGTTGATAATAAGGGAAACAACATTCTTCATATTGCCTGTCATGGAGGACACATTGTGATAATGAAATATGTCCTATCACTGGACATCGTGGACATCAACAGTAGAGGGCGATACGGGAGGACATCAGTGATGTTGGCAGCACGCGGGGGACATAGGGATGTGTTTGACTATCTGGTACGTGAAGGATGCAATATAACACTTGTTGATTATAAGGGAAACAACATTCTTCATATGGCCTGTTATGGAGAACATTTTGAGATAGTGAAATATATCATGTCACTTGACATCGTGGACATCAACAGTAGAGGACAGTATTGGAGGACATCAGCGATGAAAGCGGCATACTATGGGAAAAGTGAAGTTTTTAAATTTCTTCTTAGAAAGGGAGCTGATGTGTCACTGGTAGATAAGGCTGGTAACAACATCCCTCATGTGACCTGTAGAGGTGGACACATAGAAATGGTTAAATATATAATCTCATTGGACGTTGTGGACATCAACAGTAGGGGGCAGTACGGGAGGACATCAGTGATGTTTGCAGCACGTCCGGGACGTAGGGAAGTGTTTGACACATGTGCATGTGCAGGTGGAAATGTGTCGCAAGTTGATTCTGAAGGTAGCAGCATCCTACATTTGGCCTGCCATGGAGGACATTTGGAGATGGTGAAGTACATCTTCTCGCAGAATATTACAGACATCAACAATAGAGGAATGCACGGGATGACGGCATTGCATTTGGCGGAACGTGAGGGGTTTAGAGAAGTGTTTGACTAAGTCCTGGATAAAGGAGGTGATTCTTCACTTGTGGATATAAATGGTGATAATTTAACATCCTACATATGGACACCACTGATAGGAGCTGCAACATTTGGCCACAGAGAAGTGTTTGAATTAGTTGTGGATAAAGGAGGCAATACTGCATTTGTGGATATGAATGATAATAACATCCTACATTTGGCCTGTCTTGGAGGACATGTGGAGATGGTGAAGTACATCCTCTGACAGAAGATTGCGGACATCAACAGTAGAGGAATGTACGAGAGGACACCACTGATAGGAGCTGCAACATTTGGCCACAGAGAAGTGTTTGAATTAGTTGTGGATAAAGGAGGCAATACTGCATTTGTGGATATAAATGATAATAACATCCTACATTTGGCCTGTCTTGGAGGACATGTGGAGATGGTGAAGTACATCCTCTCACAGAAGATTGCGGACATCAACAGTAGAGGAATGTACGAGAGGACACCACTGATAGGAGCTGCAACATTTGGCCACAGAGAAGTGTTTGAATTAGTTGTGGATAAAGGAGGCAATACTGCATTTGTGGATATAAATGATAATAACATCTTACATTTGGCCTGTCTTGGAGGACATGTGGAGATGGTGAAGTACATCCTCTCACAGAAGATTGCGGACATCAACAGTAGAGGAATGTACGAGAGGACACCATTGATAGGAGGTGCAACATTTGGCCACAGAGAAGTGTTTGAATTAGTTGTGGATAAAAGGAGGCAATACTGCACTTGTGGATATAAATGGTGATAATTTAACATCCTACATATGGACACCACTGATAGGAGCTGCAACATTTGGCCACAGAGAAGTGTTTGAATTAGTTGTGGATAAAGGAGGCAATACTGCATTTGTGGATATGAATGATAATAACATCCTACATTTGGCCTGTCTTGGAGGACATGTGGAGATGGTGAAGTACATCCTCTGACAGAACATTGCGGACATCAACAGTAGAGGAATGTACGAGAGGACACCACTGATAGGAGCTGCAACATTTGGCCACAGAGAAGTGTTTGAATTAGTTGTGGATAAAGGAGGCAATACTGCATTTGTGGATATAAATGATAATAACATCCTACATTTGGCCTGTCTTGGAGGACATGTGGAGATGGTGAAGTACATCCTCTCACAGAAGATTGCGGACATCAACAGTAGAGGAATGTACGAGAGGACACCACTGATAGGAGCTGCAACATTTGGCCACAGAGAAGTGTTTGAATTAGTTGTGGATAAAGGAGGCAATACTGCACTTGTGGATATAAATGATAATAACATCCTACATTTGGCCTGTCTTGGAGGACATATGGAGATCGTGAAGTACATCCTCTCACAGAAGATTGCGGACATCAACAGTAGAGGAATGTACGAGAGGACACCATTGATAGGAGCTGCAACATTTGGCCACAGAGAAGTGTTTGACTTAGTCCTGGATAAAGGAGGTCATGCTTCACTTGGCCTGCCTTGGAGGACATGTGGAGATGGTGAAGTACATCCTCTCACAGAACATTTCTGACATCAACAGTAGAGGAATGTACGAGAGGACACCATTGATGGTGGCAGCAGCTTCGGGACATATAGACCTGTGTGACCTGCTTATTAGCAGAGGTAGTGACTTGTCTGCAGTTGATGGTATTGGTTTCACCATATCCTGCACGTCGCCTGTTATTATGGACAAGTATAGATGGTCAGGTATATTCTTTCTCAACATGTTGTGGATATTAACGACAAGGACAGGAATGGGGATACAGCAGCGATGATAGCAAAACGTAAAAAACACAAGGCAGTGTATGCTCTACTTGTGTCGCAAGATTGATGGGGGAACGAGCTGAAGTTTAATAATTTATGATACAAATTGCTAGTCACTATCATTGAAAGTATCTATTCTGTATTTCATGTGTCTCTGTCAGTCGACAAATGCATTCCAGTAAATGTCTACGTTAATGGCTCTTGTTTCAAAATAACGGTTTGTACATTTAGAAAGAAAACCAGATTGGCCCCTTAACCACTCACAAACTAATACGGTGCAGCACAATCAAACTGAACACACAATGTCGGACTTCCTTACTTATAATTACCAGTTGCTATTCAACGTAAGGAGGATGTCACTGACTAAAACGTGCTCGTAAGTACTTATGAACTTAGTACATAGCATACACGTGTTACTCCTACGTCAACACACGCAGTGCATAGTGTTCACTTATAACGACTACATCAACCTTTATAATTCACAGTGTACGCATGGTACTCCTACATCAACACACGCGGTACATAGTGTACGTACACATGCTGCCCTTACCTCAACACACCCTGTACATAGTGTGCACGTGTTATCACTAAACCAAAACACCATGTACATAGTGTGCATGTGTTATCACTAAAGCAACACACCCTGTACATAGTGTGCATGTGTTATCACTAAAGCAACACACCCTGTACATAGTGTGCATGTGTTATCACTAAACCAACACACCCTGTACATAGTGTGCATGTGTTATCACTAAGCCAACACACCATGTACATAGTGTGCATGTGTTATCACTAAAGCAACACACCATGTACATAGTGTGCATGTGTTATCCCGATATCAACACATCCTGTACATAGTGTGCATGTGTTATCCCGATATCAACACACCCTGTACATAGTGTGCATGTGTTATCCCGATATCAACACACCCTGTACATAGTGTGCATGTGTTATCCCGATATCAACACACCCTGTACATAGTGTGCATGTGTTATCACTAAAGCAACACACCCTGTACATAGTGTGCATGTGTTATCCCGATATTATAACACCCTGTACATAGTGTGCATGTGTTATCACTAAAGCAACACATCCTGTACATAGTGCGCATATGTTATCCCGATATCAACACACCATGTACGTAGTGTGCATGTGTTATCCCAATATCAACACACCCTGTACATAGTCTGCATGTGTTATCCCAATATCAACACACCCTGTACATAGTTTGCATGTGTTATCTCGATATCAACACACCCTGTACATAGTGTGCATGTGTTATCCCGATGTCAACACACCCCGTACATAGTATGCATGTGTTATCCCGATATCAACACACCCTGTACATAGTGTGCATGTGTTATCCCAATATCAACACACCCTGTACATAGTGTGCATGTGTTATCCCGATATCAACACACCCTGTACATAGTGTGCACGTGTTATCACTTAACCAACACACCCTGTACATAGTGTGCATGTGTTATCCCGATATCAACACACCCTGTACATAGTATGCATGTGTTATCCCAATATCAACACACCCTGTACATAGTGTGCATGTGTTATCCCGATATTAACACACCCTGTACGTAGTGTGCATGTGTTATCTCGATATCAACACACCCTGTACATAGTGTGCATGTGTTATCCCGATATTAACACACCCTGTACATAGTTTGCATGTGTTATCCCGATATCAACACACCCTGTACATAGTGTGCATGTGTTATCCCAATATCAACACACCCTGTACATAGTGTGCATGTGTTATCCCGATATCAACACACCCTGTACATAGTGTGCACGTGTTATCACTAAACCAACACATACTGTACATATTTACACATGTTATCCTGGATGAACACACGTTTCATAGGGTACATAGTGTACAACTCTCAATCAACAGACACTGTACATACATGTAGTTTACACGATTCACCACTAAATGTGCAATAAATTGTTTACAGGTTGCGCTACATCTACACACATGTTACTAGTGTGCACGTGTTCTTCCTATATCAACACAGATGTTGCATGGTGTACACGTGCTGTGCACGTGCCTACACCAACACGTGTTATGACAATCTCAACACATAGTATTCACAGTATACATGTCTTTCCACTCAATCAAAACACATGTTACATAGTGTGCACGTGTTATGCCTATATCAACACACATGTTACGCCTATATCAGCACACATATTACATAGTGTGCACGTGTTATGCCTATATCAACAGACACATTACATAGTGTGCATGTGTTATGCCGATATCAACAGACATATTACATAGTGTGCACGTGTTATGGCTATATCAACACACCCTGTACATAGTATGCATGTGTTATCCCGATATCAACACACCCTGTACATAGTGTGCATGTGTTATCCCGTTGTCAACACACCCTGCACATAGTGTGCATGTGTTCTGCCTATATCCAAAATGTCAGCCAATACCTTGTGTGACCACCATTAGCATTGATCACTGCCACACATCTTCTGTACATTGAGTGGATCAGACGATTTTTGAAGGCCCTAGGGACCCTCCTGCATACATCCAGAGCAGCTGTGCGTAGTTCATCGGCAGTTGTAGGGACTGGGCGCAAACTGTGCAGACGCCGTTGAACCTCATCCCACAAGTGTTCGATGGGGTTCAAGATCAGGGCTGAGGGCTGGCCACGGTAGAACACGGATGTTGTGTTGCTGCAGAAAGGCCATAGTAGCTCTGGCAACATGGGGACGAGCGTTGTCCTGCTGGAAAATGTGTTGTTTAACAACGTGGGCTCTAATCACTTGGTCGACATACCGCTGAGCAGTGACGCCGTGTCCCCGACCTTGACCAACATTCAGAAAGCACATGGGTCCAAGTCTCGCATAAAGTCCAATCCCTGCCCATATCTTGACGCTAGGTCAAGACGCTAGGTCCTCTTTCACACATCGAATCATATTCAACAAAGCACCGCAGGGTAGAAAATCTGTGTTGAAGGCTGCAGCTACAACCAATTCGTTGTAACTGTCTGAAAATGAATGTCAAACTGATGTTCTTTTGTAGATATACAATGTACGGGACTGGTGATCCGCAACAATCTGTCAGATGCACACCAGGGGCTAGAGCCTCTTATAAAGACTCCACATGCTGTTCTGTTGTTCAAAACATATGTTGAGACTGCTGAAGAGTAATTCTGTCAGTGGTGGTATGGTGAGCTCCGCCAGATTCATTGTGAGGTACAGGTAACGTACCGACAATCTTCCTTCAGTAAATATTGCCCATTTCGCATGGATAGTTATGTCGTTCTCTGTTTTAATACTTTTTCAGGATTTGGTAAGTAGATAGTACACAATTAGCCTAGCTTAGCTAAATACTTGACTGGAGACATATTGCCCTCCACTGAACACATATATGGATCTGTGAAATATTTAGCTTGACATGGAATCATTGTGAGGGTAGAATGTTGTAGTCATGAACGAAAAGACACAAAAGACAAATCGACTCATTACATTAATTGTACTACGTAATAAATTCAAATCTGCTCCTGTCATCTATAGGGAATTCCGTACAATAACAGGAAGACAAATGTCAACACCTTCCGTTAAAAACCGACTCAATGCAGCCAGCTTGAACGCAAGGCGTCCTGTGAAGGGTGTGACCCTAAGAGCTTACCATAGTCGCCAACGATCGGGGTTCACTAGGCATCATCAGGGACGGGATGTGCGCCAGTGGTATTACACCCTGTTTACAGAATCAAGAAATCGTTGTTGGCGACGTAGCGGGGAGCGGTGCATGTGCCGTGGCAACTATTCATGATCACGATCGGCACGGGAGCGATAGTGTCATTGCGTGGGGCAGTATCACACATGGCAGGGGAATTGTTTTAGTAATTGTAAATTGACATTTGACTCTCCAGCTATAAGTTGATGAAATCTAACGTCATTTCATTGTTCCATTTGTTAATCGGCAGGACGTCGTGTCCAGGTCGTCACTGATTATCTCAGGTGAGAAGACATGCTATGTTCCCTGACATGTCCTCAAAAGAGCATCTGTGAGATGTTTCGAGCGAGACCCAGCTCCCACAAACGTGGCTTATACCTTCAGGCGGAAAAGCGGACAATACCGAGGTCAAGCATACGCAAGTGTAATCAACAATATGTAAGGGCAACCATACCCAAGTGTAATCAACAATATATCAGGGCAACCATACGCAAGTGTAATCAACAGTACGTCAGGGCAACCATACCAGTGTATAATCAACAATATGTCAGGGCAACCATACGCATGTGAAATCAACAATATGTCAGGGCAACCATACACACGTGTAATCAACAATATGTCAGGGCAATATACGCAAGTGTAATCAACAATATGTCAGGGCAACCATACACACGTTTGACAAAAAATATGTCAGGGCAATAATACGCAAGTGTAATCAACAATATGTCAGGGCAACCATACGCATGTGAAATCAACAGTATGTCAGGGCAACCATACGCAAATGTAATCAACAATTTGTCAGGGCTACCATACGCAAGTGTAATCAACACTATGTCAGGGCAACCATACCCAAGTGTAATCAACAATATGTTAGGGCAACCATACGCAAATGTAATCAACAATATGTCAGGGCAACATACGCAAGTGTAATCAACACTATGTCAGGGCAACCATACGCAAGTGTAATCAACAATATGTTAGGGCAACCATACGCAAATGTAATCAACAATATGTCATGGAAACCATACACACGTGTAATCAACAATATGTCAGGG